GACTAAAACAAATCGATGATTACAAAGAATACTTTAAAAAATAATTTGAACATCCTACTACTGTATTTTACTATGCACATTTAATTAAACTGCCATCCTCGTACCGAAGAATTAAATGTATCAATGGTCAGCATTACACATACATAGTATAAATAAGTCAACCATAAGTATGTATTTGAATTTTCTTCCAAATGCTGAATTTGTGTCACAAATACTGAATGTTACAGCTGTTATGTTAAGCAAATTATAATGTACTAAAAGCTAGCTAGAAGCATTGACTTATTGGAGAAGGTTAGCATCGGCTGCTAGACTTTTTAAAAACTAAAACTTAATTTATAAAAAACTGGGACATTAATTTTAAATTATGGCTTTGAAATTATCTAGTTCTCAAAATTGTCTTTCTTTCAACACAAAACTAATGAAAATCCATCGACTGGTTGATTCAGAATCGTGAAAAAACCCCATTTACGTTATAATAATATATATGATAGTTTGGACAGGTTTCAACCCTTCCGTGGCGTAATACATTACACAGTTTATATGTAGACTACATTATAACTCATAAAATAGTTCTACAATTAAATGGATCTCCTTTTACAAACGTATATAATAACCAGAAATGTTCAGATCGTCCTTGCGTGTATTTTATGCCACAAATTTTGACGAAAGGCTTTTCATTACATAAACTATACCTATTTACAGTGTTGACCAAACAGTTGGCAAGAAGCATTAATAAATAAGCTATGTACCAAATATGATAATTTTAGCTCTATTCTAATTATGACAAAACACGAAGTAACTAAAAGCGAGTTTTGTTGGTGTAGTAAGCGTTGCAGGAGGTCTACTTTACACTGAATCGACGTTCACTTTTATTGCTTTTGATCTTCCGACACTTTTGACTCAGCGAAACTGAACTTGTATTTTACCGTATTTCGTTATATTAATCCTGCTGTTGCATTAGGTCAAATTCCCAATAAGTCAATTGCTTTAACATAGACTAAACTTTTAGCCCGGACTGTACTATTTGACTTTCTGGGATTTTTGATCTACAGACACTGCAAACATTGTAGTTTTTGACCTTGGGGTCACAGGTATAAATTATTTGATCTTCCGGGACTGTTGACTTTCAGCAACATTCCCATTATCTTTACCTATTGAACTATTGAATTACCCATGAATTATATATTGCATGCATCCCACGTTTTTCGTTTTAAATCTTTTAAGTATTTATTCCCTCCACATATTTATAAATTATTTTTATTTTTTAGTGCGTTTAAAAACGTGGCATTAAAAAAAAGTATTTTTATTTATAATTTATTTTATACTTTTTAGTCTTTAATGTGTAAATATGTTAAATCTATTTTATATGGCCTGTTGATACATACCAAACCCTTATTATCTGTAGTCATATGTTTTATATTTCCTTTGAACTGCTTATTTTATATTTAGAATCTCTCGGGAGCAGAACCTGTACCTCTACCCAAGATTTTGAACTGTCAAATTTAAGTATTTACGGCTGACTTCAAATGTAGATTCAAAATGTAAACATGGAAAATTTGGAAGCCCATGGGGCTTCGCCCAAGGAAAATATAAAAATTAAATGATATAGTATTACATTGTCATCGATTTGTGAGCTGTGTTCTCTAGTTTAATGTCTCTAGCTCGTCGGGAAGTTAGTTTAAAATTTATTGTAAAGTTTGTACCGGACAAGAAAGCGAGCTAATAAAAACGTTTTAAAATTAGGAGGTGTCATGACACTCATAGCACCAATTCACTCGAAAGTCAGCATACTAATATACAGAATCGCTCTAGAACAATCGCTTCAGGGACAATGACATGGTTAGCTACTATCGCTGAGCTACTATCGCTGAGCTACTATCGCTCAACTACTATCGCAAGAGTCGCTTCAGGGACAATGCACCTTTACAATGGGGTAAGAAGTCTACTTGTTTTACTCCAAATGAATAAATTTGGAAAGTATCAAATTCACTCTACCGGGGAGCGACCATATAAATAACATAACATAACATATAACGTATATAACACAATGTGTATCCTACATCGATTCTTTATCAGCACATATGTTTAATACCGCCGCCGCAGCAAACCTGCACACTAAGCGAATTTCAACTTGTCTGATTACATTTTTACTAAAATATTTCTATAAATAAGACATATTTATTCCAAATTTAAATATCATTAGATTTAACGAGTGGTTAGGTTTGCTGCTACGGGGAAGGTAAAAAGTGTGTTTGGACCATATATGTCAATAGTATAGGATGAAATAATTAATTTGCCAAATTTTGTCAATATATACCCATAGACAAGTAAACTACAACAGTTTTCATTTTCTCCATAAAAATAACATGAGAATTTTAAATTATACTATTTTTAAATTTTCTCCGTAACCGTTAGGCATACAACAGCGCTTCAATATACTAAATTATTAATTTTTTAAGCTCTTCAAAACGATTTAAAAAGAAATTGCAAATTTTTTTGTTTTTAGGGTCAAAAAATGGAAAACCCCATTTTACCCCATAAAGCCCCCATAAACCCCCGTTCCCATGGTCAGATTATGCTGGATCGCGAACTCGTACGAATTAACGTAGGTTTACACAATTGTACAAAATTTCATCAAAATCGGATCATTTTTGCTCGAGTTATTGCGCTAACGGACACACACATATATATACATATGCATTTGAACGGATGGTGTTTTTGGCCTCTAGGGACCTCAAAACAAAATAATTAAATCTGTCCCAGGTCTAGGTCTTACCATGAGTACTACGGTAATAGCATATTCCCTATACGGTAAATTCACAAAAAACAAACTAACTTCGTTATAGTTTTAGCTGTTCTGACAAATACAGATCGAAGAAGTAGAACACACTTGCATGGCATGTCCCACGTATATACTCAATTCATTATAAAAAAAACACCAGTTCAAACCACACACCCGTGCTGACGACGTACAGATATACGTCGGCAGGCCCAGTGGTTGACTGGACTATGGTGTCTGGGCGTCCGCGTTTTGGCTCACGTAGCGCGATCCATTGTGTTACATATCGATGGGAGCGACATGCTGTCACTTTAGCAGCCTCTCACACACTGCCGTAGCGGCCGACACGACGTTGACTTACTACGGAAAGAAACTATTTCAGCGCTCCAAGCGCCCGGTGTCTGGAACTATCCGAGGCAAGATACACCAACGAGGAAAGAGAGAGGCTAAGATACGACAATGAGGAAAGAGGAGGTAAACTGAGGCAAGATCCAACAATGAGGAAAGAGGAGGTAAACTGAGGCAAGATCCACCAATGGATCTTGGTGGATATCCACCAATGTGATATCCACATATCACGTTGGATATCTACATATCACACATATCAGTGACAGCTAGAAAAAATAATCCATCCAAACAGATGTTCGTTATTTCGTAGATGTCGTATTCTCCAAACAGATGATTAGTATTTGATAAAGACGTATGTGGTAGACATGGGGAGAAAACTTGACAAAAATCCACAAAATTGGGTTTTGAACGTCATCAGTCAGGTTATTTCAAAAGTAGCGATGCATGTTTTAATGGCTAAATACACTCTTGCCAATTCAGGGAACACAAAAACGTTCGTATTTCAGGAGAAGAACTCTTGTTCATTTTTACATGCAAAGACTACGTAAAATGCCTTCTGGGCCATGACAAACAGACAGACAGAAAGTGAGATAACACATTAAAAGCTTTTTAAAGTATAAACTCAAACATAACCGAAAAATACATAATCCTGAACAATGCACAGAGAAAACTCTAATTTTATTTATAGATATTTAATATACACTTTCACTTCTATAAAAGATTTTCTTTATCATGACGCTTGATGAACGGCTTATACACGTAATAATAACTTTCTTAAATAGACAATCCTAACGAACTACTGTTGCAGTAAACTTGCGAATATTTCTTACTTTACTCTTACACATGTTTGAAATTTACATCTTGCATAATACGCTACTTTGTGCCTGTTGGCTACTATGAATCGTTCGGATTAATTTAAGATATTAAACTTTGTTGATATACACGAGGTAAATTGACCTCCATGATACCCATAATTATACACAGGCACCATATTACAACACTACAAATTTGATTCAACAATATACGGTACGTAGTTTTATCCAAACAAACGATCAAAAACCCCGAATGAAATTGTTAATTGACTCAATAGTCAATGCATATAAGCGAGTCTTATCTTTCGATGCAGATTAAATAATACAAAGGCAGAGGAATGCGCGAGACCAAGGACAAGGTCACGGCACGGTTGCTATAGAAACGACGAAACTATCTATTAGAATTGCGCGCCAACGCCAACGTCAATACTGGTTTCTAGCCTCGAGCGAGGTGGTTCAACCATGAGAAGAGCCTCAAACTCCTGGGTAATCCCCGGTTAGCTCCTCCCACTCTGCCCCCTATCCCCACCTAAAAGACGAGCAAGTGGTAAGTCGGTCGGGTCGATTGACGACAAGTTGGTTTCTCGTATATAATAATTTAGTTTTACAGGCCGGTCAACTGGAATGACGATGAAATAACTTGTCGACGTACTGGTTTTCAGTATTTATCTATTTAATTAAAAAAGACGGTCTAGTGGCCAGACGACCAAGTATCTTGTCGGTCTACTGGTAGGCTCCCGTGGCTAATTTGAAATTCTATGATTCAAAATCGTCATTTAAGTTTATTTACACAGCTTTACAGTGTTTTATAGGTTAAAAATGCATATGCAGCTTATTATTATCCGCACCGAACTATCCGAATCCGAAAATATCCGAATCCGAACCTTCCAATATCTGATCCGATCCGAACCGAGCCTCAACTATCCGATCCGAACTGAAATTTTACTATCCGCACACCTCTAAAATTTAGTGACCAAAAATGATTTGGTTGGAGAGAAACATTTGCGTATTATGATTTTAAAGTTTAACATTTGGATTATGAATTTTATTGTTCATTGCAGTTACCATACGGAGATAGGTATAGACGGAGCAGTGTCAGCCTGTTTATCCATTTTCTCTCTAGTCACAGGGATGAAGCCTCAATTTGCAGTTCATGGAGGTTCTGCAAGAGAATCACTGGCAATGCAGAACATTCAAGTTAGTTGTTAGATATTTTGCTTCTGTACTTCTTGTATTAATCCATATGTTAATTATTTATTTACATTGTTCATATAATAATATTGACTTTCCAGTTATGAATAAATAGTTATACAAGTTACAAGTGCTTGTATTTATTAATTGGCGACGAGGATAAAAAAAGAAACTACATTTTATTACCTTCAATTTTTTACATTTTATTATTTAATTACCTATTTTAATTGTTCATATCTGCACTAGTCAACTACATAATGGAAATATTACATAACATTGATTCAATAACAGATTTGAAGAAAGTACGGGCTATTGTAAAAGGCCAGATTACAAAGGCAGACAGACTTTTAGATGATGTATCCACCATACCAACAGAAGTCTTACAAAACAGAATGGATTTATTAGAAGAAAACTGGAAAAGATTTAAATCAGAAGAAGAGTTGCTCACTCGGTTGGAAATGGTACTTCAGAGAATAAAAATGAACGGACTAAGAGTAAATAGAGATAAATGCAAGTTTCTACACAAACAAATTGAGTACTTAGGTCACACTATAGATGCCCACGGAATCCACAAATCAGAAGATAAAGTTAAGGCTATCAGACAAGCAAGAAGACCCCAGAATGTTAGTGAACTAAGAACCTTCTTAGGTCTTGTCAACTATTATAACAGATTTATCGAGAACCTGGCAACGATTCTCAATCCGTTACATGGACTACTGAAAAAGGAGAAGAAATACAAGTGGACAGATCAATGTGAACAAAGCTTTCAGAAGGTCAAGGAGATCATTACAAATGAAATTGTCCTTACTCATTTTGATCCAGTCTTACCTTTGGTATTGGCAACAGACGCATCTCCGGTGGGACTTGGCGCAGTACTGTCACATAGATTTCCAGATGGAAGTGAAAGACCTATAGCCTTCGCTTCAAGAACATTGACAAAACCAGAAGAGAAATATAGCCAAATTGACAAAGAGGCCACTGGAATTTATTGGGGACTAAAAAAGTAATACTGTTATGGACGTAAATTCATCCTAGTAACGGATCACAAACCGTTAGTTACAATATTCAATCCTGATAAAAACCTTCCTTCTATGTCAGCTACACGACTTTTTAACTATTCACACTTCTTATCAGGTTTTGACTACAGAATAGAATTTAGACGAACAAATGATCATGGAAATGCGGACTTCCTTTCAAGATTTCCAATTGAAAAACAATCAAATGCCAGCATGGACCAGACTGATGTTTTCTATATGAACCAAATTGCAACGATCAACCTAAACCATAACCTAATTGCTCAAGAAACAAAAAAAGATGAAAACATGCAACACTTGCTACTAGCTTTGGAAACTGGAAAATCCTTGGAGAACTATGGTTATCATAATGGTGAGCTATGTCTACATGATGGTTGTATCATGAAAGGTTGGAGGGTGATGATTCCTAGATCTTTACAAAAACATGTCCTCGAAGAACTACATTTTGGTCATTTGGGTATGGTAAAAACCAAAGCCTTAGCACGGAGCTTTTGCTACTGGAAAGGTTTGGACAAAGATATAGAAGATAATATTTCAAAATGCAGACAGTGCAGGGAAAAACAAAATTTACCGAAGAAAGAAATTAACCATCCCTGGGAGCCAGCAAGTGAACCATGGGAGCGGGTCCACATAGATTTTGCTGGGCCAACCAACGGAAACTACTTTCTGTTGGTAGTAGACGCATTCAGCAAGTGGGTTGAAGTCATACCTACGAAGAGTATTACATCTTCATGGACAATCAGAGAGCTGCGTAAAATATTCACCACCTTTGGACTACCAAGTGTTATAGTCTCTGATAATGGTCGTCAGTTCACCTCTTCTGAATTTAGTAACTTTTTGAAGAAATGTGGAACTTTGCACAAGAAGACAGCTCCTTACCATCCTTCTTCGAACGGCCAAGTCGAACGCTTCGTACAAACGATAAAGAAATTAATCAACTGTATGTCAGATGAATCTGGTACACTTGAAGAAAAGCTTCACCAACTTCTGATGAAAATACGTCAAGCTCCGAATTCAACTGGCAACAGCTCATACTTCTTGATGTTCAATAGAAAGATCCGCACATACTTAAGTTTACTCTTACCTAAGACAAAGGAAGAAACTAAACAACCCAAAGGAATAGTGAGATATTTCAACCCAGGTGAACGAGTACAAGCACGGAACTATTCCGGAAATTGTAAGTGGAATTACGGAAATGTCCAAAGTAGAGACGGTCGCCTTCACTATTTTATCAAGATGGACGATGGACAAATTTGGAGATGCCACATCGATCAAATGTTGCGTACGAAAGTTTAGGGGGAGACCATTGTTAGGGGGAGACCACTGTTAGATATTTTGCTTCTGTACTTCTTGTATTAATCCATATGTTAATTATTTATTTACATTGTTCATATAATAATATTGACTTTCCAGTTATGAATAAATAGTTATACAAGTTACAAGTGCTTGTATTTATTATTAGTCAATAGTGTTTTTACATTTATTATTTTTGATATGCGTGACTTGAGTTGAATAGTCTTTTATAATAAAGATAGAGCAGTTCAAAACCTGCTTAGGCCTACTCACTAGTTACTTATGTAGTAGAACCTCGCTAGTCCGACCTCTGACGGTCCGACTCCTCGATTGGTCCGACTTACACAACAGGCTTCTGCTAACGTAACCTCATTTGTCCAATAAAAATATCTAGAACATTTTTTAAATTATTTTTTTTTAGTCTAGTGTGTTGAAATTTGTTGTATATTTAACTATTTCTGCCCATTATTTATATGCAGTAGGCTCCTACATTATTGTTTTTGAAAAATCACAGTTCATTTGACAAAAATAAAATGGAAGCAAAACAAAGAAATGTCGAACAAAGCTTCAAGGTCAAGCTATCCGTTTGCACTGATAATCGTCTGCTCCTTAGGCCTACACATGACGCATCTGTCTGCTGTGCGCTTGCTGTCACAACATTTTTTGATTGGGTATTTTTGGTAACCATGACGGTGTCGCGAAGTTTGCGTACAGCGAAATTTGCGTACAGCTGGAATTTAGCGAAGGCTGCGTACAACCCGCCAGGTTGATGTTTGACGAGGGTGAAACAGGCCTGACCCTTGTGTCAGTGGAATTTGACAAGCGAAGTTTGCGTACACCACCAAGAACCACGCCTTGCTTTTGACTATTAACATTTGCCTACAGTAAAAATCTGTTATAACATTTTACATAAAACTGATACAAATGAAAGTATTGAGCTTTGAAATTACAATGTAGATATATGAATACTAGTGGCTTGTATGGACATAAGTCCCTAAAAAGCTCAAATACAAAACAAATTATTATAATATCTAAACAAACTCAGAATCAAATTATCTATGTTAGGTTAGAAATTAGGGATGGACGAGATTGGATTTTTAGTTTGAGACGAGACGAGACGAGACGAGATTTTTTATTTCTCATAAAATTTCGAGACGAGATCGAGACGGGATTTCCCTTCTCATACACAACGGGAAATGCACGTTCAAAATTTTTACCTGATTTTGTAACATAGTTAGATGACTGTTTAATTACAAAAATAATGATAATAGGCAAGAATATTTACAATCTTTTATTAAAAAACATCAGCATAACATTTTTTTATTAATCACACCTAACTTATTAAAAATGCCTGCGATTAGGAAACATAGTGATATCAGTTAGGATACAGTTCAACTTATCCTAAAATAAAATAAATCATAAAATAAAAGCAATATTAATTTTTATAAAATAGTTAGGTACTTGTTTTGACTTTTTATAGTAATAAAACATTCCTCACACTGCTTACACTTAACAAAACTTCTCAAATGTTATTAAAGTAATATTATTAAAATAATTAAAGTAATATTTACATTTAAAGAATTAATTAAATAAGAACGCCTTCGCAAAGGAATCGCAACTACAACACGCTCCTGTATTGCGGGTATTGCATTGACTTTGCAGGCGTTTTTAATTTTTTTTTTTTTTTTTAATTCTCCTCTCGGTAAAAATCTCGGCTAAAAAAAATCTCGTCTCGTGTAACGAGATTTAAAATTTCCCGAAAATTTCCCAAAATTTCGAGACTTGACCATCCCTATTAGAAATCCCAGTACAATATATATTTTGTGCAAAAACAGTTTGTTATTAGTCTTTCTTTGCTTTTGTTGACGTTATTTTTAATAAATAATTTATATTACTTTAGAGGCTTAACTCTACCAAAGGCAGCAAATGTTTGTGAATAAATATTGGTTTACTAAGGTAGCTTTGGTCTTGTGTTTGATGATAATGATAATAAAAAGGCTTCCCTGATTGAAAGATTGGAAATCGTCTTCGTCAAAAATGAAAAGGCAAATAAAGGTGTGTTGAGATAAACTTAGTTCTTGGTCAAAACCGCTAAATTAGCATCCCTAAGAAGTTATTATATCTATAAAACCAGGAATAACCTTACTTATAATAATTCAGACTTTTTAGTTAGTCTTACAATGTTGAAATCATTATTTAACTGTGCAATTTACAAACTTGTGTATTTTTTTTGTAAATTAGTTAAACACGTGATAAGTAGTAGAATCATAGGAGATGGCTCAAATCAAAGGAATTTAACTTAGAATAGCTGAAAAAGTAATGAAGTTTTTTCTTATAACTTGAAGGTTATTTTTGTGTTGAAGGAATGTTTAACATGAAATAACCACATTGACTAAAAAATAAACGATGCAGGATTTAATGGAAAACTTTTGCTTTGTTTTAATTTCAAAACATATGTTCAAGATTTATCCAATTTTTTTTATATTTTATTTTATCAATTTTAATTTGAGATTAATTTATTGTGGTGTTTAATCAATTATTGTATAAAGGGATAAACCTCAACGGCCACTCTTGGAAATCAACCTGGGAATAAAGATGAAATAGGTTCGTTCAGGACAGGCAATGTATTTGTTCATTAATCATCAAGTAAGTACTATGACAAGTTCCAATGGGCGGAAACACATAATTTTTTAGAGGAGATTTTAACCAGGTACTGCAAAAAAGGTTCAAATAATATAGCCCAGCATGTACGGTGGTAAAGGAAGCATCCATATATAACAGTAAAACCTAGAGGTAGTTTCCGTTTCTTAAAACCAACCAAAAATATGCATGTCGAAGATTCTGATGAAAAGTAATTAATTGTTTTTTAACTGGGTAATGGAAACCTAACCAGCCGCAAAATAGTTAGGAATCAGCCGTTGAATAGGCCCCTTTTTGATAGAATATTTAAATCAATCGCACCTTTAGGAGGAATACCACCACATAATCTTACACTAGGCTAATAGTAGTTTTTATGTTGATCAGAAACAAATCTAGCGATACGTTTGGTCAATGGGATGCTTTTACTTTACACTAATTTTGTTAAACCTTTCCAAAAGGAGCATAAACGTAGAAATAATAACTTCGTAGGGATGCTAATTTAGCGGTTTTGACCAAGAACTAAGCTTATCTCAACACACCTTTATTTGCCTTTTCACTTTTGACGAAGACAATTTCCAATCTTTCAATCAGGGAAGCCTTTTTATTATCATTATCATCAAACACAAGACCAAAGCTACCTTAGTAAACCAATATTTATTCACAAACATGTTTGCTGCCTTTGGTAGAGTTAAACCTCTAAAGTAATAAAAATTATTTATTAAAAATAACGTCAACAAAAGCAAAGAAAGACTAATAACAAACTGTTTTTGCACAAAATATATATTGTACTGGGATTTCTAACCTAACATAGATAATTTGATTCTGAGTTTGTTTAAATATTATAATAATTTGTTTTGTATTTGAGCTTTTTAGGGACTTATGTCCATACAATCCACTAGTATTCATATATCTACATTGTAATTTCAAAGCTCAATACTTTCATTTGTATCAGTTTTATGTCAAATGTTTATAACAGATTTTTACTGTAGGCAAATGTTTATAGTCAAAAGCAAGGCGTGGTTCTTGGTGGTGTACGCAAACTTCGCTTGTCAAATTCCACTGACACAAGGGTCAGGCCTGTTTCACCCACGTCAAACATCAACCTGGCGGGTTGTACGCAGTCTTCGCTAAAATCCAGCTGTACGCAAATTTCGCTGTACGCAAACTTCGCGTATTAGTAGCCTGTGATTGGGTAATTAGTAACAGTAACCATGGCAACTTGTTGAATGGGTGGATAAAGAGAAACTCAAGAAAGAATAGAAGAACAAAGAGAAAGAATAAATTATGTCATTTTTATCTTTATCAGTGTATTTTACGACTGTTGTTGTCATCTATAAGTAGGCTACTATTATTTTTTTACTTTTTTTGCGTCTGAAATAGCTTAGCAGTAGCCTGTGGACTAGCAATAGCTTACTAGCCGTTCTATTGTTCTGTTTATTTTGCTGTACAATGTTTGGCAATTTGTTTGTTTGAGCAAAAGTTTGAGTAAGCTGTGATTTTAACGTTACAGTTCTTATTACTGAACCAAGGTTAATGTCTTATCATAATTATCATGATTGCACAATAGCCAACTAATTGTATTTTGATGATGTAATATGCAAATTGTCACAATAAAGTCCATTTTATACAGTTAGTATTAGGTGTTGTTTATGAGTGAGAAATGACTGTTTTATGTCATGTTGGATTAACGTGGTTTTTGTTTTCAGTTACCTGTGATCTGTTCAAAATACAGTTTTAATATGTTCTTATGTCAATAAACACGATCCTCTGATAATCCGACCTTTTTGCTGTTCCGACCATGCTACCGGTCCCGTAGGTGACGGATTAGCGAGGTTATACCGTAGTCTCCTTGGAAAGCAAAATTAAATTAACGGGTTCTGGAATGGTTTGTCCAAGCTTAAACTAAAAGGCCTTTGGTTTGAAGCAAAGGAATGGTTCAAATTCTATCCTACTAATGTAGAATCATTCCTAGAAACAATGGAATAACACATTGAACAACCACAAGGAAAAGTGTATAGTAGTCAGAACAACATGAAAAACCAAATGAAACCTGAAACAATGCTCTTTCTCACCAGAGGACAGGATTAAATTCCAGACCCTGAAATGTCGTGAAAACTTACCTTTTACCAATTGTGATGGAAAATGTACATAATCACTCAAATACCAAATACTTTCTAGTCTACAAAGAAAACAAACAAGCTGTAACAAACTGTCTAAATGTGGTGCAAAGACACTTATTTATTCATTTTACTCTGTTGTAATCAGGCAAGATTGCGCATGGTGCTATCCTACCTGTTTGCACAACTAATGTTGTGGGCCAAGAGTCGTTCAGGAGGTCTTCTGGTATTAGCCTCGGCCAACGTAGACGAGTCTCTACGAGGCTACATGACTAAGTACGACTGTTCCTCTGCGGATGTCAACCCCATCGGCGGCATCTCCAAAACTGACCTCAAAAAGTTCCTTGTTTATGCCAAAGATAAGTAAGTGGATCTTTTGAAAGAATATTTCTAAATGATAGTTTTGTTTTTCAACCTTCAGGCCACTATGGACTTGATTTCTGAACCTTAACTATAAAATTAAAATAAAGATGTGCAGTCTTATTGAGTTAGTGAGATTGAGTTGCGCTTTTCCCAAGAAAGGTGAACAGATCATGATGTTTTGCTGAGTGTGTATATGTGTAATCGTCTAGATAGGTTGTGCACTTATGGGGCGTTTAAATTTTGTAAATTATGGATACGACTGATAGTTTGTTAGTTGATTAATGATTAATAAGGCAATTTATTTAGTCGGTCAGCAAATTACAAATTAGCAATTGACTTAGTCACGATAAATAACATCGATAAGCCTGAACTTGATTTTGTATACAAACAATATGCATCTAATAAACCATTATGTACAATTCTTAGGGCCTAAAGGCCCAAGTACATGTGGCTAGTTTGCTAGCAGCTAATATTTGCTATTAGCACAAGCTGGGCACACTAGCACAAAAATTTCCATCTACTTGTAGATAGTTATTGGCGCTGATTTTAGTGCTTGTCAGTTGTAGAAATGAAATGTTCAGTGGACGCAGTTGTCATTGCAGTTTTTACAAAATGTTTTGATACAAATTTAAAAAATTGATGTTAAGGAGTTGTTTGAAAAGGAGCTTAATAAAAAGAGACGAACTTTGTGGGTTCAGAAGTGGATTAAGACCTTCTTAACCTTCTAAGGACCTTCTTGAGACCTTCTTGGTGATCCAGATAATCTTTTAAGTGGACAGGCATTGGAAGGGACAGTCTACAAACACTCTACTTGACAAACAAGCAGCAACTGTCCTGTCCTGGCGAGTGGCGATTAGCACTAGCGCTCTCAGAAGTACACACAACCCGCTAGTAGTGCGCTAATTTGCTAGCGCTAGTGGTCACGTGACTACCCTCCCCACTTGCTAGCGCTTGTATTATCAGTCATGTTAAAAGCGACTAGCATGCTAAGTTATTATTTTTGCTAATGGAGCGTTTACAAAGGGTTATATTTTAAGCGCTAATCAATTAGCAGCAAATACTAGCCTCGTGTACATAGGCCTCAACACAAATGGCATGTAGGCCTACATTGAAAAATATTAACAATACCATATACACAACACTAGCAGAATACCCCTTCTTCATACGAGGTTGACATATAAGTATAGAATGCTAATTGCAGTTAATCTCCTGCTTTGCGTTTGTAATGGAAGAGGACACATTTTAAGAGAATTTGTTTTACTATAATTTACGGTACCTACCTATCACATCATATAGTATAGTATAGCACATCTACCATAGCCATAATGTTCTACCACTGCACTTAAACAATAAAAAAGTAAAGTTCTGTGACGTAAATTTCCTGCTGGCAAAACTTCGATGGCAACGTAGGAAATTACGCCATCTTAACAATAAACGGAAGTCCCAGGAATCGGATGAGTCGGGTTGCGGAGATTTTCCCAGGAGTCAATAGTGATTTGGATAGCCTCAGTGTTGATAGCTACGGTTAATCAGAGCTCAGAACAAACCTTAAGTGTCACCGGACCATTTGCAGGGTATCCACCTACCGGGAATTATGCGTGAATGTTTTGAACCGGGAAAAAACCTGGAATTATGTGTGAATTTTGTATTTTACCTCGAATTTTCAATTTGCCACGATCGCGCATGAAGATGACGTTTCCGAGACCGCGGAAGACGACGATGATGTCCAAACGGCCGTGGGATTTGTTAGTGATTTTGCCACGATCGCGCATGACGACGATGACGTATCTGTGACCATAGGAGACGACGATGACGTTTGCGTAACCGCGGGAGACGACGATGACGTTTCCGTGACCGTGGGAGCTGACGATGACGTTCCGTGACCGCGGGTGACGATGATGACTTTTCCGTGACGACGATAGTGGTTCCGTGACCGCGGGAGATGACGATGATGTTTCCGTGACCGTATGAGACGATGATGACGTTTCCGTGACCGTGGGAGCTGACGATGACGTTCCGTGACCGCGGGTGACGATGATGACTTTTCCGTGACCACGGAAGACAACGATGACGTTTTCGTGACCGCAGGAGACGACGATGGTGTTTCCGTGACTGCGGGAGACGACGATGACGTTTCCGTGACCGTGGGAGCAGACGATGACGTTTCCGTGACCGTGGGAGCAGACGATGACGTTTCCGTAACCGCGGGAGACGACGATGACGTTCCGTGACCGTGGGTGACGACTAAGACTTTTCCGTGACTGCGGGAGACGACAATGACGTTTCCGTGACAGCGGGTGACGACGATGACGTTTCCGTGACCGTGGGAGACGACGATGACGTTTCCGTGACCGTGGGAGATGAAGATGATGTTTCCGTGACAGCAGGTGACGACGATGACGTTTCCGTGACCGTGGGAGACGACGATGACGTTTCCGTGACGGTGGGAGACGACGATGACGTTTCCGTGACCGTGGGAGACGACAATGACATTTCCGTGACAGCGGGTGACGACGATGACGTTTCCGTGACCGTGGGAGACGACGATGACGTTTCCGTGACGACGATGACGTTTCCGTGACCGTGGGAGACGACAATGACGTTTCCGTGACCGTGGGAGACAACAATGACGTTTCCGTGACAGCGGGTGACGACGATCAACGTTTCCATGACCGTGGGAGACGACGATGACGTTTCCGTGACCGTGGGAGATGACGATGATGTTTCCTTGACCATAGGAGACGACGATGACGTTTCCGTGACCGCGGAAGACGTCAATGACGTTTACATGACCGTGGGAGCAGACGATGATGTTTCCGTGACCGCGTGGCACACTTCTAGAAAGTTTTATTTTTTATATTTTGTAATATCTTCATTTACTTTTAACGTGGTATTTATTTAAAGTGTTTAGAAGGGTTTAGAATTTAAATTGGCAACAAGACATTTTTATAATTTCTGCATTAATTATTTCTGTAGGTCACTTGAGAAACAACCCATAACTTCAAAATTACATACTATATGCAAGTACATAAAGACAGGGGTTGGTGTAGTAATAATTACGGAAAATTTGGTAAAATTGAAATTATCAGTATTAAGAATCTAGGTGTCCCTACAAAGATTAAAAAAAAAATTGGTATCGACATATCACTATTTTTAAGAAGTTATTGATAAATTTCAGGTTTAAGGATTAGTTTTTAATTTTTGGATTTTTTAATCAGTAATATATAAAAATATATTACTAAAACATATTACTAAAAACACATACAACAAAAATGCCTATCAATAGCAACAAAATTGAAACACTACAATGCAGTCATACTTCCACAAATAACATATGCAAGTGAAACTATATTTAAAACAACCAACACTGTAGCAATAGATAAAATACTGAAAATAGAAAGAAGAATCATCAGAACATGTATAAACAAAAAATATCAAAAAGATGTAGTTTGGAGACTGGCCTCAAATAAAACTGTATACAGTAGAACCTCATTAATCCGAACCCCCGTTGTTGGAAATTGAGTTATTTTTATATAGTACAAATTCAATATTAATCAACATAAAATATAATAATTTGTTAGTCTTTGCTTTTAATTAACAGATGGTTTATTTTAATTGATTTAAACAATTGAGAAGAGTTGTGGAAAGAATTTTAAAAGTGATCAAGAACATAACAATACAGAGAAAATGTTTTAAATATTGTTATTTATCAGAATAAAATCAGTTCTTTATTATTTAATAATTGTAAAAGTTCTTTATTTCACGCGAGTTCTAACATAGTGGCGACCGTGACAGGACATTTATAGTTAAAATTCAGATTAGGACTAAGCTTATATTTTACTTACAATGGATAAGCTGAAGTCATTAAAGACTGAAAGGACTCAACTACATTAAGAAGAACTTTTACAAAGTGCAGAAATGAAATGGACAAATTACTGGCTGAAGATATTAAAGATGAAGTAACAATTAAAAGTAATTTAAACAAGCTGCAAGATAAAGCTGATAGGCTTTTTAAGCTAGATGAAGACATCAAGGAAGCCTTGTTTGAAGATCCTGCAACAAAAGAAGAGGACTTAGAAGATGAGTTTGATACTGCAGAATCTTACAGAGACATGTTATCTTCAATGAGAGCTAAGTATGACCATTTCATTATTAAGGTTGGCCTAAGCCAACAGTCAAGAAGTGAAGTCGGGGATACCGTTCACAGTCTTAAATTAGTATCTAAGAAGGGCTTAAGTCTACCTAAATTACAATTAAACCAGTTTGATGGAGATGTAAAAAATTGGATAGGGTTTTGGGGGCAGTTTAAGAAGGTCCATGAGGATCCTGATCTAGAACCTGAGGATAAGTTCCAATACCTCATCCAATCTTTAAAACCAGGATCATCCCCTAGGGAATTAGTAGAAAGTTTTCCCCCATCTGGAACTAATTATGTAAAGGCCCTAGAACAATTAAAAGCAAGATTTGGTAGGGATGACTTTTTAATAGAAGTATATGTGAGGGAACTGCTCAGTTTAGTGCTCCAACAAGTAACACTAAGTCCTAATACCAAACTGTGCCGACTGTATGACAAACTAGAAACACAGTTAAGGGCACTTGAAACTTTAGGAGTCACTTCAGACAAGTTTGCTTCAATGCTGTATCCTCTTGTAGAATCTGCTTTGCCCGAAGAAATATTACGAGCCTGGGAGCGGCATCGTTCAAGTAGGTTACTACACATACCCTCAACTTCTACATCGTCAGATCTAGTAATTTCTAGTAATTTTCTAGAAGAACTTCTTGATTTTCTAAAGGCTGAAGTGGAGAGTGAAGAGAGGCTGGCGCTTGCTCGTTCGAGTTTTAAAATCTGCCACTCCAGGAGACAACAGCAAATGCAGCAGCCAAAAGAAAATGTCAACTGTACATGAAACTCGTCAGAATGAACCTACGGTAGCAGCTCTATTGACAACTGGTACAGAGGGTCCTAGAAGGTTGGTGAGTAACTGCACTTATTGTTCTAG